CCCCTTCCCCTCCCCACAACAGACACCCAATGAACCAATCCATACAAAAAATACATTTTCACAATGGACACATAGATACCACCTTATACTGGAAACCTACTGACCAACAAACATATCTACATGTCTCCAGCTACCATTCTACACGTACCAACCAATCCATTGTATACAGCCAGGCTCTATGCTACAGCTGCATTTGCTCCAATCCTACAAACAGATTCTCACCTGAGGGATCTACAACATATCTTTTTGGAACTAAGGTATCCAACTGATGAAATCAGGAAACAGATTAACAAAGCCATAACGATACCCAGAGAAAACCTGTTACAAGACAGGCCCAAAAGAGACAATAATAGCATTTTCATACAGCTCTCAGTTCAAAACAGTTCAGTGCATCATCAGCGACTTACAACCTCTAGTGGATAATGACAGTTCTCTTTCACAAGTACTGGGGGGGCAAACCTTTTCTTGTGCACAGACTGCCCCCCCCCCCGTCTCAAACAACTCCACAATAATGAAACATCTATTTTGAACATGAACACTGGTACCAGAGCTTGCAATAAACCCAGATGCCAACTTTGCTGCTACATACACCCAGACGACACAATCACTGGACCTAACAACACCAACTACACTATCAGAGGCTCATTCACTTGCTCATCTTCTAACATTGTATATGCCATTAAATGCCAACAACGCCCATCGGTTCTCTGCATAGGACAAACAGGACAAACCCTATGCCAAAGGTTAAATGGACACAAATCAGACACCAGGAATCACAAGACTGAGAAACCTGTAGGAGAACGCTTCGAGCTTCCAGGATGTTCAATGAATGACCTCAAAGTAGCTGTTTTATTACAAAGGAACTTCAGGAACAGAATGGAAAGGAAATTGCTGAATTACAAGTTATGACAACACTTGGAACAAAAACCTCCCCAGCAGAGGTCGATTCGGGGAATCACGAGGGATCGTCGTTCCCCGGTGGGACTATGCTGGCCCTCGTCGCCAGGAGCATGGTGAGTGTTAGAATTCAGTATTAGAATACTGAATGTAAGCAAGGAATATTGGAATGTTTTGCTTACATACCACTACACCCACCTCAAAAAAGAAAGGAAAAAATGCTGCTAAGTTACCTCCGTGCCTCAGAGGAGATGAATGGAGAGTCTCAGTTTACTTGCCACAATCAGAAAATATACCTTTACACATTTATTCCCTGTTTTGACATATTTATTGATTTGCTGTCCTTTTCCTCCTTAATTAAATCAAAACAACTGCTGACCTTATAATCTTAGCTTGTTGTTTAGTTTTTGTATTTGCATATCTTCAAACATCCTCATCGTGTTACGTTTTAATTTGCTGTTCAGCCTCTTGTAGTTTTGAACTCTACCTTCCATTTCAATGTATTTGGGAAAGTGTGCGTGCACACAAAAGCTCATACCTTGAATAAACTTTTGTTTAAAGGTGCCACTGGACTCTGAATTTGTTCTACAGCTTCAGACCAACACAGCTGACCACCTGGAACCGTTTTAACTTATATCAGCTTTTCAGTGGTGCAATGTTATACAGTTACAGGAAGTGTAAGCATTGTATACTGAAAGTTCTGTAAAATTATTATGCAATAAGGTAAATGGTGGATACATATTGGATTGCAGTCAAACGTTGTAGATGTTATTAAAAAATATCATTCAAAACTAAGTGGTTGACTTTGTAGAGTAAATAACTGGTGTTGTACCAAAAATAGTAGAGTGCGATAGCCTTCTTCACCAATATCAAGAAAGTGATTTACAACTTGTAGGAAAGTTAG